TGATGGTGGTGGTGATGGTGGTGGTGATGGTAATGATGGTGGTGGAGGTGATGGTGATGGTGGTGATGGTGGTGATGGTGGGGATGGTGGTGATGGTGGTGATGGTGGTGGAGGTGATGGTGATGGTGATGATGGTGGTGATGGCGGTGGTGGCGGAGATGGTGGTGGTGACAGCAGTGATAGTTGGTGGTAGCAGCAACGGTGATGGTGATGATGGTGGTGGTGTTAACAAATCTGAGTGTTAATAATACAGCAAGCACTGTTCCAAGCACTTTACATACATCATCTTATTTAATTCTCGTAACAACCCTCTGATGAAATTGCTGTTATTAGTGTTATTTTACAGAAGAAGAAAAGTCCGGGAGAGGTTAAATAACTTGCCCAAGGTAACACACAATGAGGAAGTGACAGCCAGAACCTGAACTTAGGCAGCATTTCCCTACGGGGAGAGGCAAACACGGTGACAGGCAGGTAGGACAGGCAGATACACGCTTCAGGTCCCTCCCGCACACTTTCATCAGAATCTGTGGGAGAAATAAGGGAATGCAAGATGCACTGCCATTCTCCCCACCATCCCCACCATCCCCACCATCCCCATCACCACCTGGGGATGGGCTCAGATTCACCCTTTTTTACACAATTCGAATTCCTTCCTTCGTGGTAAAATGTTTTGCAGGACAAATTCTCCCAAACTCTTCCCTTGCCCTTCCCTCCAACGGGAACTACAAGATGGCATGTGGCTCTACTTCTAATGAACACTTACTCCACTTGGTTTTTCCCACTGTAAAGACATTAGCCTGAGGAGGAAGCCCTCTGCTGGGGAGTAAAATGTGGCTAGCACACCCTTCGCTAGAAACTCAACCACAAGCAGTCAAGCTCCCACTGTATGCCTGGCTCACCTCACCCCCACTTCGGGAGCATGGAAATGCCCCCAAGTTCTGCTAGCTTATTCCCCTCTTCTGTCTTAGGCCTCACTGGCCTGTGTAAGTTCTCTAACTTTATTAAATGACCTGACTGTATTTCCACTTATTACTCTTGATACCTTTTCCCCTTGATCAATACCACTCACTAACCTCTAATATACTAAGTATTCACTGCACGCTACTTCACTTTACAGGCTGAGTACTACCTCCCCTGCCTATCCAGGAAGAAACTGAGGCATGCAAAGGACAAACAGCTAGTAAATGGTGAAGCCAAAACTTCAACACAGGTCTCACGACACCCCAGCTCACATGTCCCAGGACCAGGAAACAAAGCACCTGTCTTTAAAAGGGAGCACACGGGCTCTATGCTTGAACCCACAGAAAAACCCGGGGCTGGACGGATGGATCCCACATGGTAACATGTCTGAGCCCCTAATGTTTCTCTCCATTCATTCAAGAGTATTCTTCCTGAGGATCTGGTAAATGTAAACAGCACCAGGGACAAAGGTGCATTCTTTGTTCTTTTATCTTCCTTCGTGTGTTCTTCACACGTCAATTTCAGGATGGCATCAAACTAAAAGAGGAAGAAGCTTTTACACTTTCTGAGCACTAGCTGTTTAAAGTATCTCTTCTGCAAATAAAGAAGATAAACATTTCTGGGGTCAAACCCACCTTTGGTGGTGAGAATTTTGGAGGTGACTTCTAGTTTCTCCAACGGTTCCATCCCAATGTTCTCCAGCTTAATGACAAGCTGCTGAGTCTCCCCGTTGTAAAGCTGGACCGACACATTAGTAGATGTCTCATCACCAGAAGAAGGTTGCAGTGAGTGTGCAGACCTAAAATAGCAGTAATAGTTATAATAAACTTTACAAAGAAAGATTCAAAGAAAACAGTGGCATTTTAGAACTAGTCACATCACCAGACTTAACACATTCCAGAAATAGGGACTGGGGAACGTGAATCCCAGCTATCAGGAGCACAGGGTGAGTGCCGCATGCAGAGAATCTTGTGCGTGCAGACGCGTCCTATGCTCCCATTCAGCCTTAGCCTCGTGTGTGTGTGTGTGTGTGTGTGTGTGTGCGCGCGTGAAGTATAAGAATACTTAACTACTGGATTATGGTGGGGCCAAAAATGAAACAATGAATTAATTAAAATGATCTGTGAAGCAGTGCTTTCTTAAAAAAATTTGCAAATCTCATGCTCAGAATTGCCTTGCGAAACCCATAGATTAAAGAAGAAAACTTAGATGAACCATTCCGACTGACACCATGGGCACTGGAGGGACAGATCAATGGAAAGTATGTACAACGGACTCCACGTCACAGGTGAAAATGACAAGCAAAGGCTGCAAGCGCCTGATGGGACACAGCACCCTGGGGTCATATGGCATCTGATGGTCGGGTGGGGTCCATGCCACGTAAGAGTGCAGCCCAGCGTGCAGACCTGAAGCCTGCCGCCTCTCCCCGGGGGTTCCTGCACCACAGCCCTCGGGTTCAAACACACACACCATGCTCTGGAGAAGTCTGGCCCTAAGAGAAAGGGGTAGTCACTGGAGGAAAGGGTCAACATCCTCTCTTGGGGTAGGAAGGGTCCATCTGGCTCCCCACTCTCTTCCTCCTTGTACCTGAAGGATTTCCACAGAGAGTGCAATGAGTCTACACCATATACTTAACTGAACCAGAAATGGACAGCTCCGGGCCACCCCACCCAGCAAGTGCCCAACAGCCTCCCTGCGAGCCAGCGCTTTCTAGCTCTGCTCTTGGCCGCAGACCAAAAAGGACCAGGGTCAGACCCAAGTCCTGTTCTATGGGCCACAAGAGAGCCTCATATCCCCACACTGGTCCAAAAGACAGACAAGAACGTTTCAGACAATGCTGGTCTCACACCTCTGGCATCCAAGAGACGATGTTTAAACAAAGCAGGCTTATCGAGCCAACCATGCGCATCCTGGGGGACTCCCATTGCTGGCTCTGAGAGAGAAGCTTTATATCCAAACCACATTTTCAGAAAATAATAGCATAAGGAATCAAGGTGAATGCATTCCTTTACATCTTACACCTTCAAAGTTGCTCATGAGTCAAGAAATAAACTTTCTCTGTCAAGGAAGGAAGAGTGACTCCTGTCCTCACTAGAAATGACTTCTTTCTGTATTTTAACATGCAGTCCTTCCAAAGTAAAAGCTGTTTGTAGTCAATTTGAAATTGCAGAGGAGGTATTCAGAAAAACTAAAACACAGCGAGACTAATCACTTTGCATCTCAAACAGGGTATCAGCCCCCCACCAGGACCACAGGAAAAGAAGGTAGGAGAAAGCAGAGCCGCAGTGCAGCCCAGGGCCCGGCCGTCACAGGTGCCAACCGTCCCTAAGTCCAGCGTCCCATGTGGCAGAGCTAGAGCCGGAAAGGGGCTGGGTCCGGGGCAAGCAGTGACAGTAAGGAGACGGCAGTCAGACACATCCCTTTTCTGGGCATCTTCTTCCTTGCCTGATCATCTGGCCAACTTTTGTGAATCTTGTAAGGCCCAATTTAAACATCACAGCTATGAAGCCTTCCTGAACCGTGAACAGGAGAGTGGCCTCCCTCCACTTCTTATTTTCAGGAGCACTTAGCAAACTTGACTATGGTGAATCTATCTCCCTTCAGGACAGGAGCTCCTGCAACAGGCAAAGTCTAGGTCGAGGGTGATTCTGATTAGTGGCTAGTCGTATAGACCAAGCCTAGATCATGTGGCAGGTGTCAATAAATGTGTGGGAGTGAATTTGATAACTCAGTCCCAACAATATTTATGTTAATTAGAAGCAACACTCACTTAAGGAATAGTCACCTGAAATCACGTATGCCACACCAAAGCCACCAAAATTCTTTTTTTTAATTGAGGTGTTATTTATATACCATGAAATTCACTTGTTTTAAGTATATAATTCAATCATTTTTAGTAAATTCACAAAGTAGTACAACGATCACTGCTACCCACCCTGTTTTAAAACATTTCCGTCATCCAAACTGAGTATCTTTTCAACGTACTTTTTGAAGCAATTAAAATGGAAATTTTTTAGCTTATGTTATATGGCTATGCAAAAAGTAACCTAGGATACTATGTATAATATAACATCATCTAAATATGCAAACATATATTTCAAAAAAGGAGGTGGATAAACACTGGAAAGAAAAACCACAAAGCAGTAATAGCAATCATTTCTGGGACTCCTGAGATATATTTCCCTTTCTTCTTCATGCTTTCCTATAATGCTCTTAAAAAAAAAAAATCTACTTTTTAAAAGATAAGAGTTAACTGTTTTTCACAAAAAATATGATTCCAAAGGCTAATCTCACATTTTGTTCTGTTCATGGTAAGGAACACTTCAACTCTGTTCTACTTCCCTTTAAGCAAAGCATATCGTCTACTGGTTACCCTGAAGAAATGCTTTGCCCATATTTTGATCCTAAGAATCACAGATTAACTCAGACTCTTGGTGCCATTAAAAATGTATGCTCAGAACGATTCTGAAGTGCCCTCTCTTGTGGGAAGGCAGACGCCTGCCCCCTACCTGGGCAGGGACGTGCTGATTTGCAGTCTGGGCAGGGCAGGAATGACTTCCACCGTGGAGCCGCTGGTCTTCACTCCCGGGAGGTTATCCAGCAAACAGTCACTAAAGACGCCAAAGACCGTGGTATGGTAACCTAGGAAGTGAAACGAAGAGCTTCACAGCCCCTGGAAAGGCCTCCACGCTCAGGCCCCCATCTGGAGGCCGCCCCCAGCAGGGAGGAGCGTGGCCCCCCACCCCAGACCCGAGTTCCATCAGCTGTCACCCACTGGTCCCACTCACAGCTCGGCCCGAAGCCTTGGGTGCCCACGGAGACGGAGGGGTGCCAGTCCCGACATTCCTACCTCACGGGGCCGCCTGGGTCCGAGTGAAAGCACGTGTGAGTCTTCATCAACTAGACATCTCTACACAACTTAGTACTAGGGTCTCAGCACTTGGACAATTTGCTTTTCAAATCTGCCTGTCTCTGAGGGAGTGATAGTTCGTGTTCCTTTGCAGGACATAATGGCGCTGAGTAAGTATCCAAAAAGTGATGCAAAGTCTTCAAAATCAAAATGAAAGCTCAAGAGCCAATTACTGTTATTATAACTGCTACGTGATCCGGCAAATCTGCCGTATTCGTACAAGCACTGTGATCTAAGATTAGCGAATTTTCCACGCCAAAAAAAAAAAAAACAAAAACCTCCATTGGTTAGATAAGCACTTGAAATTATTTAAGCTTTAATATGGCTTTTGTGAAATTTTGAGAGATAATTATTATAAACAATGTTCACTGTATAAGAAAATTAAACAACGCTCATGGCTACATGCTTAGGGTGAGGACTTTTGTGCACGCACATTAAATGGTTATAGGAATCAGAGGAGAAAGCAGTTAGTTCTGGGCAAGTCAGGCCCTAACGGCCCATCAGTGGCTCCTTCACCTTCTGCCAGTGGTAAAATGCTCTCGCCACGTAAAATCACCAATTCACAGCACCCACGCTTCCCTCCTTTTGAAATATGTTTCTTAAAAGACTTAATTTAACTTGCAAACATGTTCCTCCGCTGAAGCCCACATCTGGCAATATGCCCCCTCCTATTTTTCTTTCCAGAAAACCTGACAAAATGTGGTTTTGCCTAAGCAACCTTTGTTCTCCACTTTTTAATTAAAATCAGTCATTTTCCTTTTCTTATGTATCGCTGAAGAAGACTGCAAAGAAATTCAAAACCTGATGACAAATTCTGTTATGTCTAATGGTATTTCTGATAACACGAGGTCAGGCCTTTCCACTTCCTACAGAAGGTGTGCCAAAAATGCACGCGACTTGGCTGTACCAACTCAGAGCTCTGTTACCAAGACTCTGACTCCTTATCCAGTGGGTACCGGTTATTAATTAAGGGTCAATCCCATCAGCCTTAATTATTTCCTCTCTCACCTGTCTCCTTTACGCCACTTCCCACCACAGCTGTGACCCTAGCTTCGTCACTGCATCCCAGGATTATGCCAACAGCTACGTAGTTGGTCTTCCTGCCCCCAGTCTTGCCCACCTCCAGCCCGTACTCCACAGAGCAGCCTGGAGGTCCCTATGCACTGCCTGTTTGACCGTATCTCTCCTCTAATGAAATGCAGCCTCTGGGAGAAAGCCAGCACCCCTTAGCTCTTCTGGATCTGGCCTCTGTCTACCTTTCCAGCCTTGTCACTACTTGTCCCTCTGCCTGGGACCAGCTTCTTGGAGCCAGCCCCAGTTCCCAATACTCCAACGGTCTCTGGACCACTTGTTCTTTGTACCTAGAACCCCACCCCCACTCCCCATGCCATTCACTCAGGTAATTCCTAGTTGGCCTTCAAAGCTCAGGGTCCCTCAGTAGGAGAAAGTCCTTCTCGACCCACTCTCCCCTTCTGGGTCACCTCTCCCCCATGTTCCCACCAGTCGTGAGCTGGGCCCCTCTCAGCGCTTGCTGCCACACATCCTAACCCAGCATGACACCCCCCTCACCCACCACAGACACCAGCCTTTCCCAGAACTGTCTCTTCTTTCAGTCACCCAGTATCTACTAGAGACCCAGCACACACTGGGGACTGGCAAGGCAGACAAGGCCAGCGACTGGCCTCGGCAGCAGAGCATTGCAGGAGAGCCAAGCAGGGCACTTGACCCAGCGCCGAGAAGCCGAGGACAGTCTCCAAGACTAAGGGAAGTCTGAGCTAAGAACGGAGAGAAGCACGGGAGCTAGCCAAGTCTGGAAGTGCACCAACAGAAGGAAAAGCACAGGCAAAGCTCAGAAAGCCGGGCATGCTTCCAGAACTGCAAGGAGCCTCTGAGAGGGACAGGTACCTCGGGGAGGTGGAGGGGGCCGAGGCACCGCAGGGCCAGATCACACAGGGAGCTCCAAAGCCACGCTGAAGGAGTTGAGGCTTGATGGGGCAGGTGTGGACAAGGGGTCAGGACTTCCAGTTAAGAGATGGCCAGACGTGTCCTGCAGAAAGGCCACTTGGCAGCAGTAGGGAGAACGGACTCAATAACAACCAAGACGATGCCGAATGACGAGCCCTGTTGCTTGTGTGACAGACCCTGTAAGAGGGTCCTGTTCTGCAGGCTCTGAGTGCCTGAGGACGTGGATGGGAGCACTGAGGGGCCGGTCAGTAGCGTAGGGGCAGGCGTGGAGCTGGTGAGAGACGGCAGGGGTGAGCACAACCTACGAAGGCCTGCTTTGGGTGTCTGGCAGGATGGAGTTTCAAGATTCGGGCCACAGGACAAGGGCAGCTGCGGGGGGCGGGGGGGGCACTCTCGGTGGAACACCTTGCAGCGAAGCGCCCACAAGGCAGCCAAGGGGCTGGCTGGTTAGAGGCTGACTATGTAGGTTCAGGAAAGAGGTCCGGATGGAGCCACGGCCCTGGGAATCAGCAGCATAGGGAAGGGCCCTGAAACCAGGAAAGTCACTGAGAGGCTGAGATTGCCTAGAGGTAGCCTGCTGTGGGGGGAGGGGAGGGGCAGATGGGGGAAGGGGGAGGGAGAGGAGGGAAGGACAGAACCTGGCCCTGAGGAATACCATGGAGGGGAGGGGCGTGTAGAAGGGGCATCTGCAGGATGCTTCATGCAAAGGAGAGGAGAGGGGGCACCTCACAGAAACAGGAGGCGAGCGCCCACAAGGGCAGGTGGGCAGCGGTGCCCAAGGCGGCTGAGCAGCGGAGGCAGACAAGACTGGGTTAGCTAGGGACTCAGAGACGGCGGTTCTGGTGGAGTGATAAGAACTAACCGCAGGATGCAGAAGGTCAGACAACCAACGGAGAGGGGGACGGTGGATTCTGCGCGCATACATGGACCTCTGAAGAGGGGTGGCCAAGAGGGGAGAGAAGGTCAGGCCAAGCGAGAGGAAGCCAGGGAGTCAGCAGGACCGGACTGCAGGGGGGGGCCTGCAGGCATGTTTGCAATCCCTCTGGAAGAGGCCAACAGGACAGGAACAAAAGACCTGACACAGAGCAGGACCCCTCCCACTGTAAGGAACACTGTGGGCCCACTGTATCCCATGCACTCAAAGCCATTCCTTTCCATGCCACCGCTCCATTATCTCTCAATCGGTGAGGACCAACACCAGGTGACCGGTGACAGGCCTCAGTGGGGCAGGACAGGGTTTCAGCAGTCCTGCTCGACCTGAAATCAGAAAGCAAGTCTCCTTACCATTCACAGTAATCGTTCCAGTCGTCTGTGGGACCCCAACAAGAGTCACTGGGTAAAGACCAGATTCAGCGGGAAGGGAGAGCGCCGCAGGGAGAGACTCGAACTCCACTCCGCTGGTGAGGAGCCCCTAGAGCGAACAACAGTGGCATGAGAAGCACAGCCCAAACCCCCGCCGCATCACTGGTTCCCCTGAGGCAGAGGACATCTGCTAACGGGCAAACCCCAGGACTGCCGGGATGAGGACAGCAATGTGTGGCCTTCACAGAGGTCCACGAGAGCCGCAGAGACGGCCAGAAGCGTGCTTACCACAAACAACCCTGAAATGGAAAGCACAGTGGGTGTTTGAACAACTCCATCTTGATGTCAGCCCTCCTGGCTGTATTTTTCATATGTGCTTTTTGTTGCTTTACCAAATTGGAATGTAAATGTAAAGAAAAAATAAAATATGTAAACATAAAAAAATGAAGTATGGAAACATATCATCAATTAATATCCCTCAATGCATCTATGAACGATCAGTTCATTTCACTATGTGCCAGGCTATGCTCGACAGGGAACAAGACAGATACTCTGGCTTCGAGGAGCTGCCCCATGATTGTAAACACTGCAGGGATGTCCGCACTCAGCACTTCTCCTCAACACTGTAACAGAGGTCCTACCCAATGCAATAGGTAAGAAACAGAAATAAAGGCATGCAGACAGTTACTCAGAAAAAACAGAACTGTAAACATAAAAACCCAAAGGAATCAGCAATGGAACTTGAACTGGCAACTGCATTGAGCAAAGTCACAAAGTCAGCATAAAAAAAAAAAAGCAAAGGTATTTCTATCATCTGGCAATAAACAAAAAATATTAAAAAATAAAATACAAAAACACTATTCACTAAGAGATCAAAAACGTCCACTGCAAGGGAACAAAGCAATGAATGATGTGTATGTAAGACAGCCCTGCGGAAATCCGCAGCCCACCGTGGAGACACAGAGCAGGGACACACACGTATGAGGCCCTGGCTCCTTCTGGGGTTTGTGTTCTGCGGTGCTTCAGCCTACGCAGCCCTGAACCTACTCCACACGCTACAGGACTGAGCAAGGAATTCAGCACCATGGTGCTGGGACCTCAGTCCTCACACTGGGAAAGGACACGGGTGTGAAAAGGGTGAAGGCAAGAGAGGGCCCTGCGGAGATGGGCTAGACCTGGCGGCAGCACGGTGAAGTCGGGCTGATCTAGTTTTGCGTGTGTATCCTGCACATGTGTGTGTGTGGGCACAGGTGTGTGTGCACGTATGCAGATTATGCATGTAGATTTGTATGTAATTACATGTCTACGTGTACACGCATGCATGCTCTTCCTAACTCCGTCCACAGAAAACACCCAGAAGCAGGTGCTCGAGTGGTAATGAGCACACCTGTGCCACATTTTGAGCCAAAGCATGAAATGATCTACATGGAGGACAGAAGCAGTGGGCAAGAGTGCAAGCACAGAAAGCATGTAGATGGCTACTGTCTCCAGGCAAAATGTACTGGCATTTTATCTCTTCTTAAAATAGCAAAAGCAAATATGACCAACAGTTAACAGTCGTTAAATGTGGATGGTGGATATTAGGAGCGCTTATTATTCCCTGTTAACATTTCACATGCTTGAAATATTTCATAATTTCATTTTTTAAATTCTGACCATGATTTGTGGGCTACCTTCTAGTAGTAATTTTTATTTTATTCTTTGTTCTTCCTAACTCTTTATTAAAAAGCACATATTACTTTTAAACCAGATAAAAATGAAAGCTACTTTTTTTGAGAGAGAGAGAGAGAGTGCAGGGGTCGGGGGGAGGCAGAGCGAGAGGGAGAATCTTAAGCAGGCTCCACACCCAACATGGAGCCCAAGGCAGGGTTCAGTCTTTTTTTTTTTTTTTTTAAAGATTTTATGTATTTATTTGAGAGAGAGAGTGCGCACAAGCTACAAGTAGGGGGAGTGGCAGAGGGAGAAGCAGGCTCCGTACTGAGCAGGGAGCCCAATGCGGGGCTCGATCCCAGGACCCTGAGATCATGACCTGAGCTGATGGCAAACGTTTAACCAAATGAGCCACCCAGGTGTCCCAAGCAGCAGGGTTCAATCTTACAACTCTGAGATCATGACCTGAGCCGACATCAAGAGTTGGGCGCTTAACCGACTGAGATACCCAGGTGCCCCTGAAAGCTACTTTTTAAGACAAAAAAAAAAAAAAAAAGTGTCTGACTGTAATTGCTATATAAATGTCACTAACACGTATATAATAACAATAAACTGAAAGAAGAAAATGCCCAAAAGAAAAAAAAAAAGTGTCAGAAAAAGCAGCAAGCATCTGATACTTGAGGCACTTTGGGGGAAAAATCCTCTGAACAATTATTCCCTGTTCAAGCCAAGAGACAGAAAGTCATTAAGAGGCCTAACCTGAGAGCCAAACCCTAAAGCCGGCAGTGTCTTGCATGACAGGAGGGGGACAATACTCACCCCTGTTGACTTGCTCTCTGAGTGACCTCAGGGCTGTAGGCTTGACATGCAGCTGAAATTCTCAGAGCTCTAATGAATTTTGGAAACCTATGTCTCATGCTGAGAGCCTAATCATCATCTTAAATAACCACCAGTCTGCCTGGTGAACTCCTACTCATGCTTGTCTTCTCAGGTGAGCCCTTGTCTCTCCCGGGAAGCCTTCCCCGACTCTCCATGTGGGCTCTGGAGCACCTCCTGTACCCACAGCACTGACCATGACAGGGTCTAGGTCCCCCTAGTGCCCTGCCCACAGCATGATACGTGGCATGAGCGCTCAGCAAGATATCTTCACAAAAAGCCCACCCCTTACTCTGAACATGAGTCATAAAACTCTAAAAGAAAACATGAACTATCTCAAAACCAGCCTTTGCAAGTCTCTGAAAAAAATCACAGAGCAATACTGTATGCTAATATGTAGTATCAGGTACTGACCCATAGTACCCAGCAGTGCTACACAATAATAAGCACAGAGAAGACTTGAGAAATGGGACCCGCATGGCAGGTGGGTGGCTCTGGTCCGGAAACATCAGAATTAGTCTGGAGAGCCAGTACACATCTCCTTCCCACTGACTATGGAGTTAGGTGAGTGGCTCCAGTGGACACTACTACAAAGTGAGCCTTTAATGCCCTACACAAATACAGACACAGAACACTGGATTTCAAACCTGACAGAAATCTCCCATTGGTGGTGCGATAATTCATTCTCCTACTGTACAGACCTTGCTCTTCCCTCAGGCCTTGATCGTCTTATCATCTTGTAGCAATAAAGTAGCCAACAGAACATACACTTTGTAAGCTGTGCTACTCTCGTGTAAATTTCAACATGATTATTTCAAATCTCACATCCAATCAACTACACTTGTGTGTTCAAATCAGAGGGGTCTGTTCACTGATTCAAACATTGAGCACAGAGCACTAAAGACACAAGAATGACAAGACGTGGTCTTCCTTCACAGACACCTTATAATCTTCAGCAAAACAAACATAAAAACAGACATATATCATAGGATATGTGCCCCAAATATTAAAAGTTTCATGGCAAGTTGGTGACTGGTGATACATACCATGTTTTCAACTCGGAGTTCAAATGGCATTGGGTTGTATACCATCAGCTGAACTTCACACACATCTCCTTGAACCCACTGGAAATCTAGAAATGCACACACAAAATAATCTATGCATTAGTTGGTGTTTCTGCATATTTCACATGGTTTCAGATTACTCCTCTGGCAATTTATTTTTCCAGTGAAGCAGTGAGCATTATGATCATCTTTAGATGAAAATAAAGCTAGTGTAACTGTAGCCTTCTCTAAAACAAAGCAAGTCATCACTGCTACTTGGATGCTTTGTAATGGATGTTTCTCGCCATCTTTAGCAGGCTGAATTCATGCCGGTGTACAGGTACTGTAATCCCCACTGTTACAGGGTGGACACTCAAGGTCCAAACGAGTTAACACACGTGCCTGGGAATCACAGAGCTAGTAAGTGGGGCCACGGGGACTCAAGCCCAGCCTCCTCCCTCCTTCCTCCCACCCCTCCTTACGGGGTTTCCCAGACCCTCAGGCAGGAGAAAGCCCCAGGGCAGGCTCACAGAAGCCATTCTCTAGAGCACACTGCACCTAGGCCTGGCCCTTCAGCAGCATCTTTGAACCCACACTGACTCCAGCAGTAGCCCCCAGCCCCTTCACACAACCAAAGAAAATATCACTTGTTTTAACAGGTTACTCTGCCTGGCAGCTAAGGAACTATTTGTTTTCTGTGTCATGGTCAAAAAAATCAACACTTAAAAACTCATTTTCCTGGGGTTCTGAAAGGAACCATTTATACTTGCATCGTCCTACTCTACTGAGGATATATCTAAGATAAATCGCTGATTACATCACTGATCACGTGATTGTTTTTGTCTGAAAGAAGACCATCTCCTCTCCAAGCCTCAGTGTGTTAGATCACACAGGGGAGGCCCTTCCTCGAGATTCTATCCCAGAAACCATAGAAGAACAGCAGTGGGTGGCTATTCAACACCTGCCCAGCATCAGGTCCTCCCCACTTTGAGCCACACAACACTCTTTCTCCAACATTGGAGGGACCTGCCCAGTAGGAAGCACCCGTGATCTCTCGCTGCATCCCCAGCACCTAGGACAGTGCACACAACTGCTATTCAGAACCTTCTTTCCACAGCTGCCAGGTCCTTTAGGAATATTACCTCCCCTGACCCTCAGAAGAACCCTCTGCGTTAGTGTCTCTTGTCCTCTTTCTGTACTCGGGCAAACGGGATCTTGTCTGAGGTGGCAATGGGAGGCGGCAGGGCCAGGCTGCAGCCCACTGCCTGTGCAGGTCACCTTGACCTCAACACTGACCTCGACCTCGGCACAGAGCCTGGCCAGGTCACAAAGTCCTAGCACAAATGACAGAAAAGCCTTCACCCGCTGTGCTCAAGCTCAGGACCTACGTACGCACAGAGCTGAACTGAGACAGTGGCAACATTAGCAACAAGGAGACAGAAAAGATGGGTAAATTAGTCCAAGTTAGAGTGCTGAGTCTCAGAAACCGCCCCCAGGGGTTTCTTCTTCTCAAACACTCCACACCCCCTGCTGTGATGATAACTCCCCCAATTATACACAAAGATTCATTTACAGAGATTGGAATTTTAGGTTAAAGACATGTGATTCTTCAAACCTCCAGGCAGGTCTTCACTGATGAGAATACTGTGGAAAACATATTAGAAGCCACAGAATATAAATTACACTTTCCTACCCGTGGGTATTCAACAAATAACATGGATTTTGGCCAAGGCTTCTGCTATATTTCAGAAAAAATCTTGCATCATCCACTGAATTTATCCTCAGCCCAGATGAGCAGGGGCTTCTCACTGTGATGAGGAGCCATATTACAAAGAAAGAAATCCCTGAGCTTCGAGTCGAAACCTTGGCTGGAGACTGAGCTGTGCACTTACTAGCTGTCTGACCAAGGGCAGGTCATTTATATTCAGCTCAGTCTTAATTTTCTCATTTGTCAATTGGGGATATAATGCCTGGAGGATCATGCAGTTATGCAAATCACCGGATGATGTTTGTTTAAGCCCTCTGCAACAAGTGCAGGGCATTACTTTCATAAAAAGAAGCCTCAACAATTTAAGATTGGAGAGGAAAAACTAACGATGCAGGACTGGCTCTAGCGGGGATGGGGGCGGTTGGAGCTGCAGCCACACAGGCCCAGCCTTGGTGGGGGGAGGGTTAATGTTCTGCTGTCACAGGCTCCAAAGTCTTCATAATTTCTTTTTTTTTTAAGATTTTATTTATTTATTTGACAGAGAGATAGAGAGAGAGCACAAGTAGGCAGAGAGGCAGGCAGAGGGAGAGGGAGAAGCAGACTCTCCACTGAGCAGGGAGCCCGACGCGGGACTTGATCCCAGGACCCCGGGATCATGACCTGAGCCGAAGGCAGTCGCTTAACCAACTGAGCCACCCAGGCGCCCCAAAGTCTTCATAATTTCTGAAAAGGGGCCCCACAAATCACGTAGCTGATCCTGAGAAGGAGTCTCAGACCTCCAGTCTCCCAAATAACCTCCGGAAGTTTCTTTAAACAAAAGGGGTGAAAGTTTCCTAAAAACATTCTTTAGGGGAGAAAGCTTATGGCCAACGCCAATGAGACCAGAAAGAACAGCCAGAAACTCCCAGCCGGGCCAAAGGAGATAAGCTTCAACTTGATGTTGAGTCTAGGTCTGCCCAGAGAGTGATTTGCCCACCATCAAGAGCCAGTAAGAGAGAGACTGGAAAAGGACCCAAGTCTTCCACCTCCAAAGAGGTCAAAGGAGGGTTCCCATGGGAAGACAGGCCCTGCTCATGGGAACGTCCACTGCAGCAGGTCCAGGAGCCCCCTGGCCCTCCCCAGTCTGCCACGATGCCCACCCAGCTACCCTGCTTCCAGTCCTCTTAAGCTCGTCCTCCAGAGCAGGGGCCCCGGGGGCAGGAGGGTGAGCCATCTCAAAATCAACAGACTAAAACAAGAATGTCAAAGACAAACTTTCACCACAAACCGCTACTTGGTCAGGCCTCTCTCCCCTAACAACCAGGAGACACTTGGAACTAGCTGGTCACTCATTCACGTTAATGAACGTTTACTGGCTCTTACTCGCACCTTATCAGATGCTGGGCGCTGCTGGACCACGAGATGGGGCCGCCGCCACGGTCACCCCAGCCAAGGCTGCCACGGCTGCCATCACCAATTCGAGCAGAGCCACATCGCCCGGCACTGCAGTGTCAGCAGCGGGGGCCCCTGGGAGCAGACCGGCCTCCACCTTCCCACACCTTCGCGCCAGGCGAGGGCCTCCGTGGCCGCCCCAATAGCATCGGGAAATGTCGTTTTCAGGCTTTTAGCCCAAGCAGCACAGTGAGAACGGCAGGCAGGGTCAGAGGACCGAGGGGCAGGATCTGACCACCGGTAACCATCTGTGTGGACCGGTTTTGTGCCCCTTACAACGCCTGACCCACGGCAGGGGGATCTCGTGCCCGTGTACCACGGATGCAAGAGCACACAAGCAAAATCGTCTTCCAGGACGCAGATGGAAAACGTTCCAACACTGTCAGAGAAAGCTCAAAGTCTCGTCGTTTTAAATATATTAAATATATCTGAAGTCAAGGAAAGGCAAGGGTTCCACGCCGCAGAAGAAGCTGCTTTTCTCCACTTCAGCCCATCTTCGCTTATTTAATGGCACTAATTAGAACTAGCCATTATTTTATTTATGGGTCCACTTACTTGTACTTACTACTGGAAAGTACTGCTGAACACTTCCCTCCAACTTCGACCTACACCCTGCGACAGCCTTGCCGCCATAAGAACCACGGGGCCACGGAGAAACTCAAGGGGAGCTTACTGCCAGATGAAAGACTGAACCAGTGGAGAGACACACGTGCGCACGCACGCAGATACACGTGCGTGCGCACACAGACACGTGCGTGCACACACACACGCACAGACACGCGCGTGCACACACGCAGATAGACACACGCATGCGCACTCACGCACACACTTGTGCGTGCGCACACACACAGATAGACACACACGTGCGCACTCACGCACAGACACGCACGCGTGCGCACACGCAGTCACACGTGCGTGCACACACGCACAGACACACACATGCACACACTTGCGTGTGTGCACACACGCAGATAGACACACGCGTGCGCACTCACGCACAGACGCGCGTGCACACACGCAGACACGCGCGTGCACGCACACGCACAGGCACACACACGTGCACACACATGCAGATAGACGCGCGCGTGCGCACACGCGCAGACACGCAGATAGACACGCGCATGTGCGCACGCGCACGTGCAGACAGACACATGCATGCACGGACACACACACGCTGTAGTGCAGTATGCTATACACTTGGGGCTCCTAATTTCAGAAACGTAACAGAACTTACAATCCGATGCTATTTTTCAAGGACGTGTTTCCATATTTCTTCCTCTATTGCCTTCTTGTTTTAAATAATGAACAAGCAGAGCCCCCCGAGCCACCCCTTGCTCCTCCAGAGACAACCTCACCATCAAGGGAGCCTCCGGGGCACCTTCCAAAGTCGGGGGTGTCCCCGCTCCCGCTGGACCAGCGCTTACTGTCCGTCCAAGCTCAGCAGGTAAGCCAGCAGGTGCTGCTGGTGACAGTTCTACAGTTTTGGACAACTTGACCTACATCTCGTCTTGACATCCCACTCCTCATGTATTTCTGCCCCGCCCGCTGCCTACACTGACCTGGAAACCCTGTGCAGAGCAGGGACTGTGTGCTGTGTCTCACTCGGGCCCCTTCCATGTGTGCCCTGCACGCAGGAGAAAGCCATCCTTGCTCCAAGAACACTGAGCTGAACTGTGACACCCTCGGATGAAGCACAGTGTGAATAAGGACTGTTGGCCATTACAAGAGAGCAGCTTGGGGTCGGTTTAGTGCTCCTATCCCAGTCATGCCCTCTGTCCTGGGAACAACCTCCTCACTCAGGAAATACTTTGTTTTTAAGGTGTTCAGATAACTTACTAATTGTGAATGCTTCCAGATGTTAAGGATTTCGAGTGCTGGTATTTATGTAGGAACTCTTCACTGAGACCATGTGACTTGCATAACGCTCACACTATCCCTCTGGCCTTGGGCCCCGTGGTGCCGGCCAATAAGCACGAAATGCATCATGAGCCAAGGCCTGCTCTGAGTTCTTGAGCAAGTCATTTGAACTCCCTGAATCTCAGTTTCCTTATCTGTAAAATGGGGTTCATAATATCTACCCATTCCTCCCCACATCTGTGCAACAATCTTATAATAGCAGCTGTCGGTACAGCGGGGAGCAAATGGAGGAAGGGGAAACAGAAACATGAACGTGGACATAGGTGCTATAAAGAGAACTGGGCCTCAAAGGCACAGAGTGCTGGGAGGAGCATCCTCTCTGGGGATGGTAGGGGATAAGCCTCAGCAGAGGGCACAGCCAGCACCAAGACCGTTCTGTTCCAAGAACAGACCCGTGCGGCTGGGTCTGAGGAGCAGGGGTAGGTAAGAGAGGCAGGAGGAGAACAGAGAGGCAGGCAGAGTACTGCACAGCAGGCCAGGCCACGGAGGGCCGAGGTCCACGCTGTGGGGGGTCGGTGGTACCGCCAGGGCAGAAGGGCACCTATGCCCTAGGAAGTAGGGCCTCCTGAAGTCAGGCTGCCTTTTTGCTATATTCATGGTGCAGGGATTACGAGTAGAAATGAAACAGGAGAAGAAAGCCCTGCACTTCAAAAGCAGAGAGCAAAAGCTTCTCAGGTCTTGTGTTGAAACTCCTCAGGGAGAATCGGCAAGTACCCACCAGGACAGGCCTCTTGACCCCTTCGCTTTGACACTGTGACACATAGGCTAATGTCTGGCAGTAATCAGCACCATTATCCAAAATGTCAGGGGCCCAAGGAAGAGGGAGCTGGCAAAGAACGAGGCCCACTGCTGGGCCAGGCGTCGGGAAGACAGAGAGGGTGGCGCACGAGCCCTGGGTCTGCTGCGAGGGAGGAGGGGAGCAGGCAGGGCTGGGACCCAGTGGGGAGCTTGGCACACGGAAAAGCGCACTAGAGATTCTCAAGAATGCGTTCTGGCTCCTGCCCTACCCTGAAACATAGCTCCACCTGTCCCTGCTGAGCCCCCAGACCCCTCAGAATTGGCATCCTCAGCCCCCAGGCAAACAAAGCCAGGGCTGCGAGGGCCAACAGAGAACGGCATACACCGTCCCTATCCCCCAGGCAGGTCTGAGCGCAAGTCACCCTCTGATCTCGGATGATCCCGAGGTCACTCTGGGCTCCGACGATCCCTCTCCTGTTGTCTGCTTCAGTCCTGATAAAAGAGGTCTTCTGGTTTCTAGAACTTCCACAGACTCACCTTTGATGAAATCGATTTTAAAAAATCAGATCTAGGGCCAGAGTTTTGACAATGGCAGCAAACTGCATAAACTGAGATAGCCATGCAGACACGCATGAAGGAACCGGAATCTGGAAAAGCCGCTGGAGGCCAGGCAGGAGGCATAGCCAGAAAGTCAGGAGGAACGCACCTACCTATTTTCTTGTTCCGCTCTTCTCCACGGTTGTGCGCAATAATTGGTGAGTAGATGAACGGGCTCTTGGTCGACATGTTCTGACCCAGCAAGCTCTTCATTTTCTGTGGCCGGAGGCTGGCAGGAAGGTTCAACAGCTTCACACGCCTAGTGTTTCAAATGGAACAAAAATACTTCAACTGCCTTGTTAGCTTGGTTTCAACGTAAATACTACCAAATCCCACGTGTCAGAAAAACAGGACATCCCAGAGCAGAGGGAAAAGCACTCCAGCTCGGCAGGAAGAGCAGGAGATCAGTGCACGTGGTCACTCGGGGCCATCCTGGGCAGCAGCCGCTCCCCCCGCCGGCTCCAGCAGCCACGAGGACCAGGCCGAAATCCAGCTGTATGCCCGTGGGTGCCTTGCCTTCTCCCACCCTCGGGCTCCTCGCCTACAGAACGCACCCAGGGTCCTCCCTCACACACTACTGCGAGCAGTCACGTCAGGGCTCGGGACCTACTGCTCGGCAAGGCCAGTTCTCTTCTCCCTCCTGGCGGGCATGCCCCCAGCACACAGGAGAGCAGGGGACTGGAAGAGCCAGAGGTTAATCGGGCCGTCTGCGTCATGAAGAGCAAGGCTGACCCCCCCGCTCAGCACAGCCTGTACTTACACTGCTCTCCCAGCCGCAGATGTGAACTCATCGCCACTCACACTGGGATCGGGTAGCTCCCGTTTATTTGGGACTCGCCAATCTGCGCAGCCTGAGCACACCGAGGCCCCTGTCCTCAACAAAACATCCCAACCACCCTCCTAGCTTGGCTTCTATTACTAATGCCTCCACGTCATCGATCAGAAACTGACACCACAGAGACAACAAGTTGTCCAAATTGCCGGGCTGGAAGCTGGTGACAGCAGGAGAGACTATGCTTTTAAACCTGTGACCCCCTCCCATGACCAGCGAGGCAAATAGGGTTAGGATCTGTGATGTTCTGAGGTGGGGACACGGGGTGGCCCGGCAGTGACCCTGCCAGCGCTCCTGCCCTGTGTGTGTGCAGTCTCCTCGCAGGAAGGTAAGGCCAGTGGGCTGTAAGGGGGGTCGTGTATGTCCTCCTGGGACTGAGCCCTTTGTTTGCTTTTCATTTTATTTTCCTTTCAGCTCCTTTAAGATGCCTTTTTTCACTTTTTTTTTTTTTTAAGTTTTTTTTAAGTAATCTCTACACCCAACGTGGGGCTCAAACTCACAACCCCAAGATCAAGAGTCACATGCTCCGCCAACTAAGCAGCCAGGCACCCCTTTTCATACATTTTTTATCCATTCATCTGTTGACGGGCACTGGGTTGTTTCCAAGTCCTCGCCATCGTGAATGATGCTGTGATAAACACACGGTGTAGACATCTCTTCGAGACCCTGTTTTCATTCCCTTTGGATACATACCCAAGAGGTAGGATTGCGGGATCATAGGGTAGCTCTATTGTTAATGTTCTGAGGAACCTCCACAGTGGCCGGACTGATCTGATGCCCACCAGCACTGCATGAGGTCCCCATCCTCCTCCCCCCATCTTCCTGATGACAGTCACCATAACAGGTGCGAGGTGGTAGCTCATCATGGTTTCCACATACTCCTCCCCGATGGGGAGCAATGCTCAGTATCTTTATGGTACATACATACAACGGGATGTTACCCACCCTCGAGACAAAGCACTTTGAAGCAGTGCACTGGCCTCCAGCTCTCTTCCCTCCACCGCAGGGTGATCCTGGAGGCCAGATATTGGCAAGGTGAGGCAGAGATGGATGCAGACTCTGGAGCACTGAGTAACCCCAGAGGTCACCTGCCCTGGAAAACTGCCCGACTTGCACTGAATTTCATGTGAGGGAGACGTAAACCCTTGTTGTAAGGGTTAAGCTTTCTCAGATGTCAAGATTAGAATTATTACCACAGCACAGGCTAACCGACACTGACTAACAAAGACCCCCTTAGAGAGTCCACAAAGCACTGCTTTCTCAGCTGGAAGGGATCTCCGATACCTAGCGCAGTCCTGTCCTATGCACACATACCCCTACGGCACCCAGCAGTTGCTCACAACTCCCCACGTACACTCCCTGGACCTTCACTGACGGCCACACGCATGACTCCGTCCGTTTCCCACAATAATCCAAGGGAGTAGACCAAGTCCTCGAAGCCCAGGACTGTACCTTGTATACCTGCTCTGACTCCCTTGTCTCTGCATGCACCCTTCCGCTAAGCTTTATTCATACAGGATCAGAATCACTTAAAATTTCTTATCTGTTTCACTTTAGCTGTGAGCTCTCCAGGACAGGGGCACCCGGGCATCCAGTGCCTGGTACAATACTTTAATAGATACCTCAGTAAATACTGAATGAATAAATTCCCAAAAGTTGAATTTTTTATTTTTATTTTTTCAAAGATTTTATTTATTTATTTATCTGAGAGAGAGTGCACAAGCAGGGGGAGCAGGAGAAGGGGAAGCAGGCTGCCCCCCTGCTGAACAGGGAGTCCGACTTTGGGGCTCGATCCCAGGACCCTGGGATCATGAACCAAGCTGAAGGCAGACGCTTAACCAACTGAGCCACCCAGGTGCCCCCACCCCCACAATTTTTTTTTAAAGAGTTATTCATTTACCTGAGAGAGCAAGCGCACTCAAGTGGGGGGGAGGGACAGAGGGAGAGAGAATCCCAAACAGACTCCCTGCTGAGCACAGAGCTTGACTCATCTCACAACCCTGAGATTATGACCCAGGCCAAAATCAAGAGCCGGCCATTCAACCAACTGAGCCATCCAGGCACCTCCAAGAGTTGAATTTCTAACTCAGCTTCCAAATCGTTCAAAATTATAAACTCAAGCCTAAGCAGTTTATTACTAACAGTTGCAAACCCTAGCCATTTGCAAGCATGCAAAAAATACCTGTGCACTGCACGGGGACTAAGATGAGCAAACTGTAAAGCTGGCCGAGACGGCATGCCTGGTGTGGGTCTCATGTCCATGCACACCCAGTCCAGAGGCGTTCCCCTGCAGGTAATTCTCAGTCTGCCCGAGAAGCAAATTTAGGTGGTGTGCAGACCCTGACTACCATCTGAAGGACCTACCCGCTATTCAACTGGCACAGACTACTTCACCTCCCTGCACCTCAACCTTTCCACCTATAAAACAGGAAAAACACCAGCTACCTGATAATGCTGTGGGGGAAGAGGACACCTCCTTTCCCTAGTTCCATGCTGCCATGGGAAGGACGTCCTCAGAGGAATAGTCCTGACCTCACTGTGCCCCTCCCTCACTCCTCTTAAGGGAGGGGGTCAATTTGGAAGGAGAACCAGGGTGTGCAATGCTCAACCCCTTCTCTTGGGGTCCGCCTGCCTGCAGGGGACACTTTCTATCATCCTGTCCACGTAGAATGAAAGGGGTCTGGCCCTCCAAAAGAGGCGTAGAGTCCTACCCAGCTCTGCTAGACACTGGGGTAACATCATCTGGCCAGACCTGAGCCATGCTGTTCACCAGATCTTCCATCTGTCTGAGACAGGCCTTTGTTCCTATTGATTCCAAACTCAGGCAAAGAAGGAGGAGTATCTGAAGTGGCATGTTCAAACTGTGGCAGGCTACTTTGAGGATGAAGCAAGCTAAGATACATAAAGCACCTATAACAGTGCCTCACACGGAGCAGGCTGCAAAAGCCTTTCTCTTCCCCTCCTTCAACCAACACTTGTTTACAAACAGACAGCAAAGCCCCTGGTGCAAAGACTCTAACTCTGGACTGGTATAAAGAAATGAAGGTTTGGTCCCAACCCTGCTACAAGCAGGCTAGTGAGCCTTGGACCAGGCACGGTCTATCTGAGCCTTAGAGTTTATTCATGTGTAAAATGAGTCTGTTTTCTTGGAACACAAATAGGTTTCTATGACATGCCACCGTCACCACCTAAAAACGTGATGTCATCTGTATTTCTACAGGATTCATCTATACCAGCACAGAAATTCCAGATCACACAAAAGGCTCTTAAAACATGCAAAGGAATTCTAAGGACATGGTCAGCCAGAAAAGTAACCCAACAGTGGCCACAGGGTTCATGCATAACTTGAAACTTAGCATCAAATATCTTCTTATAAAATGTATCCTATGGGAAAAACAATCACTCAAGGCACTTGACCTACAGGACACATAGCCCCTGTAGCAGAACCAGTAAGGCCACATTTAGTCTATGAAGCTGCCAACAGGAAAGCAGAGTTCCAGGGGTCAAGTGTCCAAAGCAGGGCTTGTAAGTAGAGATTCCATTTGAAAACTGCCGCCATGTCAAAGGCCGGCTGTGCTCAGCTCACTGTGGCTGATGGGGACGGAGCGGGGCCCTGCAGGGCACTGGCTGGGATCCTGAGCCAACACACACGGACGACGGGAGTGTTGGGGAAAGCGGCTTACCTTCCCTCACTTGGTTTTGAATCCATCTACCTTCTTCACAGCAAAAGCATATCTAAGAGCCCACCGCGTATCTCTGCACAGATGGGCCATGACTCAAATGGCCACATGTGCCCCACACTTGGCCAGGCGCGACGGACATGGCTGGAAAGGGCGCACACACCACCAGGTCAGTGAGCGCCCCACTCTCACTCCTGACTGGACACACGCTTCTCACGATCCCCATGAAGCTCTAGTATGAGCTCCATCAGGGAGGTTGCAGGCATGGCAATCACACGAACGTGAGGGAAGATTCTGGACAACATTGCACCTGATGAGGTCATGGGAGCCCCACCTGGACTGGGATCTGGGAGGCTGACTGTCCTGTTTCATCAACCAAGAAAACCGCCCTGACTATCATGGCCTTCTAAGCCCTTTTTTGAATAAATATCTGTAATCCTGCCTCAAATAATATAATTAACTTAAAAGTTTAAGTTTTAGGGGTGCTTCGCTGGCTCAGTCGGTACAGCGTGCAACTCTTGATCTCCAGTCATGAGTTTGAGCCCCACGTTGTGTGTAGAGATCACGTAAAAATAAAATCTTTGGGGCACCTGGGTGGCTCAGTCGGTTGAGCATCCAGCTCTTGGTTTCGGCTCAGGTCGTGATCTCACGGTCCTGCGTCAGCTCTATGCTCAGTAGGGTGACTGCTTGAGGATTATCTCTTTGCCTCTCCCTCTGCCCCTCCCCCTGCTCATGCACACGTGGGCT